TGTGCATATGTATGTGAGTTGATTGAATTATTCTTGATTCCATAACAATTGGCGCCGTCTATCAGGATCTAATCGAGAATCCATAGGATCTGCAAAATTCGACATCGAGAATTTTTCCCCAATAATGACTTCGGGCTATGGAGAATGAATATGCGCACAATCCTGGTGAAACAGGGACTGTCTGACGCTTTAAAGAAGGTAAAATCTTTGTCTGTAACCTTGACTGAATCTGAGAAGAATGGAAACATGGATAAGGATGATAGCTCGATCATTCTAAGTCTAGGAAACAAGACCTTGAGAGAAGTTGCAAGGAAAAACTCTGTACAAGAGGTAAGGTTGAAACTTGAAAAATTATACATGACTAATTGCTTAGCCAATAGATCGTACTTAAAAAAAAGGTTTTACTCGTTTAAAATGGTAGAAGAAAGGCCAGTATCAGACCAATTAGATGAATTCAATAATATTGTTGATGACCTTGAAAACATAAAGGTGAAATTGGAGATGAAGATTAAGCTCTTCTTCTTCTGAACTCAATTCCAAAAAGTTATGAGAACTTTAATGATGCAAGGGTGTATGGAAGAGAACAATCTATGTCTCTGAAAGAGGTTGTGATAAGCCAATGAGATCCATAGGAATCTTGATGGTCAATCATCCATTGTGGGAAAGGTTTATTTGTCAAAGGAAAACTTGATAAGAAGGAGAATAAGTGTAAGAAGCAAAATCACAAGTGAAGTTTTAGAAATCAAAGAAAGAAACAAGTAATAAGGCATGTCCATTCAAGTGTTTCCATTGTCACAAGGAAGGCCACTATATTAATAAATGTCCTAAGAAAAATAAGAAAGAAGAGGTGAAGGGAAAGATGGAAGGAGAGACCAGCCTGGCCACAGAGGATTGTGACTACTCAGAGGCTCTTGCTATTACTGGATCCAAGACAAGAAACGAGTGGATGCTAGACTATGCTTGGTCTCTCCATATGTCCTCTCATAAAGAATGGTTTGAGACTCTAAAATTCATTAAAGATGGAATTGTACTTCTAGGGAATAATCAACCCTGCAAAGTCCATGGAATTGGAACCATTAGAATCAAAATATTTGATGGTGTAGAGAGGACTCTACCAGATGTAAGATATGTTCCTGATTTGAGGAGGACCTTAATCCCCCGTGGTGTTCTTGATAAGGTTCGATACATTTTCAGAGGTGGAAATGGAATAATGAAGATTTTGATAAAGGCTTGTAAATGATTTAGGGGAAATGGCACATACACACTTATTGGGAAAACTGTAGTTTTTGGATCATCAAATGTGGCTTATGGTGGTTCTAACAAGACTGAGCTGTAGGATAAAAGATTGGCTCATGTCAGTGAAAGATGACTTTAAGAGCTATCAAAGTAAGGGTTTCTTGGTGGTGACAAGGTTAAGTTCCAGTCAGGTACACACTCAACCAAGAAAATTCTTGATTATAATCATAGTGACCTATGGAGACCATCCACGACTCAAACTCATGGTGGAGAAAGGTATTTCCATTTTGGATGACTACTCTAGAATAGTATGGGTATTTGTCTTGAAAGGAAAGGATGAAGCCTTCAGCAAGTTCAAAGAATGGTTGATAAGTACTAAGAATAAGACTGAGAAGAACCTCAAGTACCTCAAAACTCACAATGGGCTTCAATTTGTATCACAAGAATTCAACACCTTTACCAACAAAAGAGGTATAACCAAGCATAAGACCGTCAAGCATACTCCACTACAAAATGGAGTTACTCAAAGTATGAATAGAACACTATTGGAAAGGGTGAGGTGTATGTTTTTTGATGTTGCACTTCCACAGAGTATTTGGGTTGAAGTTGTGGTCACTTCTGCCTATCTCATCAACACATGTCCCTCCACTGCAATAGACTGGAAGAATCCCATGGAAAGGTGGAGTGGATCTTCTGCAGACTATGGTCATCTCATAGTATTTGGATGTTTGGCATCTTCTCACATAAAACAAGACAAGTTGGAGCCTAGAACCTTGAGGTGTGTATTCATTGGTTATCCTCAAGGTGTATAAGGCTACAAAATGTGGTTTTTGGGTCCAGGGCATGATAAAACACTCATCAGTAGAGATGATGTGTTTGATGAGTCCAAGAAAGGGTGCCCCAAGCAGCAAAATCTAGATATTATTGGATCCATTAAAAGGTACAAGGAAAGGCTGGAGGCTGAGATCAAACATGAACCAATTGCGACTAGGAAGGATGATCATGAACAAAGTGAGGCTATTGAGTAGGAGTCTGCCTCAAAAGTTCAGAATGATTATCACCTGGCAAGAGACAGATAAAGAAGGACCATAAAACCTCCAGATAGGTATGGCCATGCTGATCTAGTAGCTTATGCCCTTAGTGTTGCCAGTGAACTTTAGGAAGCTGAGCCTACCTGCTACTATCAAGCTCTTCAAACCAAACACAATGATAAGTGGCAATTAACTATGGAAGAGGAGATGAGTTCTCTTGAAAGGAATGAAATGTATTAGCACTAGTGCATCAGCCTAAAAGTCATAAAACAGTGGGGTGCAGGTGGTTGTTCAAAAGAAAAGAGGATAATCTTGGTATTGAACAAGACAATACTTTTAGCCAAAGGCTACACTCAAGTGGATGGAGTGGATTTCAATGAGATTTTCTTAAATGTGGTAAAACACACACATGTATAAGACTGATATTGGCTATTGTTACTCATTTTAACTTTGAATTTAAACATCTTGATGTTAAAACTGACGTTTGTATGGATATCTGGATGAAACAATTTATATGAATAAACCAGAGAGATATATAAAGGAGGGCAAGGAGGAATATGTATGCTTGCTGCAAAAGGCACTGTATGGACTTAAACAAAGCCCAAGACAGTGGGTATAGAAGGTTTGATGAGTATATGATTTATAATGGTTTTAAGAGTTGCGTTTTGATATATGTGCATACTTCAAAGGAGACTCATAAGAGGACAAGATATTACTACTCTTATATGTTGATGATATGTTGGTTGTCAGCACGTAAAAGTCTACAATTCAAGAAATCAAAGATATTCTACATGATGAATTTGACATGAAAGATCTAGTAGCTGCAAGAATGATTCTTGATATATGTTGGTTGTCAGCACGTACAAGTCTACAATTCAAGAAATCAAAGATATTCTACATGATGAATTTGACATGAAATATCTAGTAGCTGCAAGAATGATTCTTGGTATGAATATCTATAGAGATAGAAGAAGGCACTCACTAGTAATGAGACAACATCAGTACATTGAGAAGATACTAAGAAGATTCAATATAAATATGGCCAAAGCTGTGTGCGCACCCATTGACCAATATTTCATACTCTCGACAGTACAAAAACCAAGCACAGATGAAGAAAGAGAATACACGAGCATTGTGCCATATGCTAATGTAGTGGAGTGTGCCGTGTATGGCATGGTATGTAGCAGACCACACAACACATACAGTGAGCTTGGTTAGAATATTTAGGGCTGACCCATGCTCTACTCATTGGGAAGCTCTTAAATGGCTCCTAAGGTATTTTAGAGGTGCTGCAGATTTGGGTTTAAAGTTTCAAAGGAGTGAATCTAGTGATGATGCAGTCATTGGCTATGTGGACTCAGACTTTGCGTGTAGTATAGATACTAGAAAGTCTACAACTGGATATGTGTTCACAATGTATGAAACAAGAATTAGCTGGAAGAATAATATTCAATCAGTGATTGCTCTATCCACCACAAAAGCAGAATATATTCATGGCAGAAGTAATAAACGAAGCAACGTGGTTACATGGAATAATAAAGGAATTCAAAATTGCTCATGAGCCTGTGGTGGTGTTCTGTGACAATCAAAGTGTTGTGCACTTATCCAAGCACCAAGTCTTCTATGAAATATGAAAACATATAAGTGTAAAACTACATTTCGTAATAGATGAAATTGAGAAGAGAACAATCAAGGTTGAGAAGATCCCTACTGAAGAGAATCTTGTTGATATATTAACCAAACCATTTCCTGTGACCAAGTTTAATCATTGCCTCAACCTTATCAGGCTAGGAGGCATGATGAACTCTCTCTGGTTGGAGGTCGAATGAGAGAGAGAGAGAGAGAGAGAGAGAGAGAGAGAGAGAGAGAGAGAGAGAGAGAGAGAGAGAGAGAGAGAGAGAGAGAGAGAGAGAGAGAGAGAGAGAGAGAGAGAGAGAGAGAGAGAGAGAGAGAGAGAGAGAGATTGATGATCAAGGTGGGAAATTGAAATATTTTGATCCAGCAATCCAGCAATGAGAGCAAGAGGAGCTGGGAAATGACATGGAGAAGGGAAGAGCTCCAGCTGGCAAGTTAAGAAAAGTAACTCCGTTCGATGTAAGCCCTTACTTGGAGAGCAAGTCTGCTAGATTATGTTATGTAGTTGTTAGTAACTAATTAATGAGGTGGAATTGTGCCATTGGAAGAGAAAATGAAATCAACGGAGTTGCGGAGCTGTTTTCCTGAAGATTATATTTACATTTTTCAAGTTTTCCTTTTTTTTTTTTTTTTTTTTGGAAAAAACATTTTCAGTTTTTTTCCCTTTTTTTCTAAATTACTTTACCTCCTATTTTACCTTCTAAGCAAACAAAGAAAATAAATTACTTCGACTTTTCACCTTCTTACATAGCATTTTACTTGAACCAATCAGAGCCTTAGTTTCCTAAGCAATTCCATTAAATAGACTACATGTCTAGAGTAAGAAAGGGCACAAGTGTTTTTAACAACAACAACAAAAAAAAAAAAAAATCAACATATCCTTAAAGCTGTAGAAAATATTTTTGAGAGAGTTCCAGCTAAATTCCACTATTGAGTAGTACCGCCGGTGCTTTGCAACTAATTCTCACTTTGTGGATGAGGTGTTTTGCAGCTGTTGCCAAACGAGGTAGATTTCCAATGGTATTTACTATTTATTTAGTAAGATTGGACTTTGAGGGGGCTAATTGTCACATTTAAACTTTGAAGTATGCACAAAGCCACAAACATAATAAAGTTATATTGCAAGGATCAAGTGGTAAATTACCTTGAAGCTTTTTGGTTTTTGGACAAGATACTTTCCCAAAAAAGAATTCAAAAATAAAGTCCCCCACAGTCGCAAAAATCAACTACTTCATAAATTCAAATAACAAAAAGAAAAAAACAATAAGCTGCTGCTTTCAAAATCCTCAATTCATCGATCTCCATTTTCAAAGATCGATGGAAGGCAGAATGTACGAACACCAACAGCAGCATCTGTTCGATTTACAGGAGAAGAGTGGTTTCGGGTCGGACCCTAAGTCATGGCTTTCCGGCGGCGGCGACGACGACCTGAGACGCACCCTCTCCTCACTCTCCGCCGCCGCCGCCACCGCCTCCGCCTCCGGTAACGTCGACCGCGTCCTCTTCAATGACCTAGTTGAGATGGTCCCCCTCGTTCAGTCCCTCATTGTAATTCCCGCACACTCAATTTCACTTCTTTTGTTTTCTCCAATTTCTGTTTCCCCTTTTTAAGTATGTTGAATGAATACTGTTTTGGTTCTTTTGCCGAATTCAATTTGCAGGATCGAAAAGCGAATTCTTCGTTTACGAGACGGGGTTCTATGATCTACACCAAGACGCCTTCTAGAGAATCCCTTTACAAGAAGGTAATTGTATTGTATTATAGCTATATATAGCCATTGTGTTACATGAAAATCGACTGTGACAGGTCCGTTTGTTTAGTGAATGAATTTTATGTACTTCTTAAGAATCTCTCGATTTCGTATTGTGTTAATTATGTGTATGTTATGATTTAATCCGACTATGAAGTTATGGATATAAGTTTCAGTCCCCAAAGTGACAACCTCCATAAGTCCTTGAACTTGGTTTTTACCATATCGAAGATTGTTTGAATTGATTAGCTAAGTTAGTTTATGCGTTAACTAGCTAAGGGGAATCTAATTTTAGTTATTCGGTGTCGATTAACTAAGCATACTGCGCAGCCTATTTGTCTCTGCGAATTTACTTTTTGTCGCCAAAATAGTTGAATGAAATCCTCACGAATATTCATCGTATGGTGTTGATCGCCCATTCCTACAGTGTGAATTCGTGAATACTTATATGTCAGTCTTCATTAAATCCTTATACGGCCTTAAAAAGAAACAATTGCAAATAATACGATATATCATATATTGGTATTGGAGATTCAATTTAATAATAATTATCAGATAACAAAATTTTGTTCGTTCATCCATTCTTGATCAAGAAAGATATAGCCGTTTAGTTGAAGTTAATGTCGCCTTTTATTAAGTTTGTCGTTCCTCATAGATTGTGATAAGCATACTTTTTTTTTAGAAAGAAATCTTGATTTACTTGTCTCGGAAACTCGCAACTATGACCTTAGAATCTAGCAGCATACATGTGTTGAAGAACAAAGGTAGAAAGTGTATCCCTACATCAATATACTTTATGGTGAATGCCTTAGATATAGTGCTGGGAACAAAGAAGCGTTCACGTAATTTTTACCAAGATACTTTTAGGACCGGTGAACGAAAATATATTATTCAGCTAGAACATCAACGTAATTATTGTAAAGTCATAGATTAGAGAAATGAACCATGGTCGTAAAAATATTTGCACTTGTTGAAGGCTCCGAATGTCACTATACAAAATATTAAAAGGATAATAATTAACTGTTTTTATTTCTAATCGAGAAAGCTATATGGTAGATTTTGCAGGTTTTCAAACATCGTAATTATTTGAGCAAACAGGAAACATGATATTCAGAACTTGAAACGATGGAACGAGACGAAAAAGTGAAGTTAAATAAATAGCATCTTTATACGAGGAACTAAGACAAAACGAAAAAATTGTTTATGATTTCTTCGAATTGATCTGTTAAGATTAGCTGAGTATGTGAATCAATTATCTATTGATTGTTAATTTTTCTGAGATTTGAAGTAAGCAATTTCCTAGATTTATTGTTAAAGTTGTAGTTATCAATGTTAGTACATACTTGCATAAAATTCACTTCTGCACAGAGCTTTGGTTTAATATTTCATATGATGTTTGATATTCGTTTGGTGCAGACAGCTGGCAAAAGTGCGAGTCTTGCAGGGAAAAAGCAAGGAGGCAAAGACGAGAGCTTCTCGATTTTCTCGTCAGGGGCATTGCTCTCTGAAAAGGACAGAGAAGAATTGTTAGCATTGCGTGACCAAGTAGAGGATTTAACAAAGCAACTGTCCGAAAAAGACGAGCTTTTGAAATCAGCACAACTTTCAAACGATGAGATGGTTTCCATTCAGACAAAGTTCGAACAGCTTCAAAACGAGGTTGCAGAAAAGGACTCACTCATTAAGTCCACTCAGCTACAGCTTTCCGACACAAAGGTCTGGAATATATATGCACACACACACACACACACACACACACACGCACTCATTGAGGGAGAGAATATTCCGTACGTTTTATTGATTCTTTCTTGTTTTTTTGCGAAGGTTAAACTTGCAGACAAACAAGCGGCTGTGGAGAAATTACAATGGGAGGCGATGACATCCAACAAGAAAGTGGAGAGGCTGCAAGAAAATCTGGATAAGGTCCAAGGGGAGATTTCATCTTTCATGTTAGCAATTCAAGGCTTGACTAATAACGATTACGCCATTTGTAACGGAGATTATTACGATGAAGTTCCTTATCTTCTTGATCAGAGCCATCAATCAGTAAGTCATTTACTACAGTATAAAAAAATTGATTCTTTTACATAGTAGATGATAGAACGTCGTTATATGCATGAATGGTGATTCTTTATTATTAATATCATTTCGTAGTTCGTGTTATTATTCATTTATTATATTATTATTATTATTATTATTATTATTACATCTCCTGAAAATTGGGCAGGATAATGAGATGGATGTGGAGAAATTGGAAGCAGCGAGAGAAGCGTATGTTTCTGCAGTGGCGGCTGCAAAAGCTAATCAAGATGAATGCTCTCTTTCTGCCGCTGCCGCTGCAAGGTTTCAACTCCAATCATTTCTTATCAAATAAACCCGATTTTTAGTTTGAGTAGTTGGTTTCTCGGTGTTCATATTTATTTAAATTTAGTAGCTATTGTTAATCGAAATTCTCTACTATGTTGAAGATGGAATCATAATTTAGCAACTTTTCAGGCTGATTTGAAAATTTTTGCCTTGCTCAAAACCTTTTTTTGCCCTTGTTATGTTTTCTTGGTTCAACTATACAAAATGGGGCTTTAATAAATTGCAAATATATTTTTTCTTTCTTTAAGTAAGAATCTGTAGCTAATCATAAGCCTACAAGGGAGTAAGCTTCTATTTTCGTCCAAAATAGTTTGCAAACTACACGAGAGATGTAAATTATATTAGGCATACGTTATGTGTGACAAACTCGAAAAAAAAAAAGAAAAAAAAAAGAACGGAAAAGGAAATTTGAATTGGCATCAATTGGCTAGGGATAGCAACGGGTTAGTTTTGGGGCGGGTTCGCCTAAACCCAACTCATGAAAATATATAAAACTCGGGACCCGCCCCAAGTCATACTTGAATTAAACGGTTCTGACTTGCCAGACTTGTTGGACCCGTCAGGCGTCGACATCACACAAAAGGTTTAACATTTTTTTACTTTCATAATACTTTGGTTGTATATTTTAACCAAATAATCTCAAAATTAAACTGCAATATTTTACAAGTTATATAAAATGAATAATAAACATATCTAATTAATTATATTTTTAACTTCTACTATAAATGATGTTCAAAAGGCAAGATCTCTAGAGGTGGTCGACAAGTAATAGATATGATCAGCGAGAAATTAGATATAACATATTTATACTGATCATTTATGGGTCGGTTCCAATAGATCCGTAACCCGACCCAAAACCATCTGATTCTAGAAACTAAAACCCATTACTTGACCTAAAACTATTAACTTACCCAGATCCGCCCCAAACGGATTGGTTTTGGGTCTGAGCCCCGGCAAACCAGTACCCATTGTCCTCCCTACAATTGACTTTGCACCCTCCTTTATCTTGAGTAATGAATGCCATTGTGAAGTTAGTAACATTGATTTGTTTGATTGAGAGGGTTAAAAGTTTGAGATGATAGGATGGATAGTTTGCAAAATTACAAATACTTTCTTGTGCTACTACAAATATTTCAATCCTTTTATTTTAAAAACACCCCTTATACAAGTGTGATTATACAAGTGTGATTTGCAAATTAGGAAGACAATTTCTTTTTGTTTTCTGAAATATACAAATTGAACTTGATATTAGTTGAAAACTAAAGATTTTGGAATATTTATGTATTTCACAATAAGAATATATAAAAAAAAAGAAAAAAAAAAACTAAATTCTTTAAAAGCCTAAACATCATGAAAGACAATGATCATCAAAATGGTTTTTGGATTGTATGTGAATCGCATAATCCTAAACTAGAAAAATAAAGCAATCTCATAAACACTTCCTCTACACATCTTCCCCTATCGATCGAATGTCCGCTTTAATTAGGCTTGTATAAATTACGACTGCGTGCTCCTTAATTTTCCCACCATATACGAACGGAGAAGAACAATCAATCAAACAACATCTGGATATCTGGGTTGTAAAAAGAAAGTCACACGAGCTTTAATTGAAGCTCTCTCGGTCGTATCTACATATATATGAGAATATAGAAAGTAACAATATAATATAATTAGAATCGACAACAGTGAAGGCGCACACTTTGGGGGCCGTCGTGCTTTTCCGATCTGGGCATGTGAACGGGGCTGCCTATCCATTCAATACCCAATCTGCATGCAACAAATAATATTAATGTAACATATATGTATATAATTATTTAAAGTAATTCAAAAAAAAAAACATGTTACTATTAATTAATGATACATATAATTTATGAAATATTTATTATTATCAAAACTCACACTGGGAATGCAAAAGAGGTAGTGCTTGTATCAGATAGATTAGAATCACAAGACTCAAAAGACTCCATTTTGCTTCCATTTGGCTGCTCTTCATCAACATTACTACTATTCTTTTTCTTCTTCATCTCTTTTATTTCTTCATTTTCATCTTCATCTTCGTCTTCATTAGGTGGCCACTCACCCTACCCACAAAATTAATTCTTAGTCGTCTCCTTCGATTATATATGTGCCTCGTCGAATTTCAAACATTACTCAAAATTCAAACGCAAACTTAATTCTAGTATTAAAAAAAAATCGATTTAAACTTAATAAATGAAGTTTTTAGTTACCATATTGACAATTTTTCTTTAGATGTGGTAAATTAAATTAATCGACGACCCTCATATTTGGTCTAATTACACTTCAACGACCTCCTTTTAAGTTTCAAAATTTACTCAAAACTGTCCTCAAGATTTGAATCCGGTAGAAAATCCAAACTAAATATTTATTTATAAATCAATATGTTTATAAATTATGAAATATACAAGTGTCTATATTTATTTATAAATCATGTAATTTTATATGTGTTCCTACAATATTTTCTCATAGAAACATTGCTATCCATGAATTTGGAATTGATTGCCAAATCATGTAAAGAGTTGAGGAAACAGCAAAATTATTTGGAGATTTTCTACCAAAACATGATTCTGATTTTTTTTGAAAATTACAAAAATGGCCCAACAAGTTTTCGTCGGGTGTCGTGTCCGACACGCAATACGTCAACACATTGAAGTGTCGGGGTGTGACTTAGGGATTATATTAAAATCGAAAATTTATAGACGAAGGAAAATTTTAATTGTACTAACCTTCGTAATCATGATAGTCCTCAAGGAATTAGATGCAGCGGTCGTTGTGTTTGCATGTTGATTATCATCGTCATTATCAAGTGGCGATGACGACGATGACGTGGCGGCATGAGCTTCATTTACCATGTGGATTTCTCCATCATCTCTGAAGCAGAATACAATGTAGTCTTCCTCCGCAAATCGTGGCTCGGCCGTCGATCCATCTTCCGATTTAATCGCAGTATCGTTTTGCGACGAACTTTGAAGTATTGATTCTCCTCTAATAATTACATCATCATTTTCTTCTTCTTTGCAACTTTTGTTGGCAACAATGGAAATCTCGTCTCGAATAGTACTCTTCTTCTTGTGACGGCCTATAGACTCGTCAAGTATCCTTCCTTTTGTCGACCCTTTACTGCGCGACGTCTCCGGTTCTTCCTCTGCATTATTATTAATTAATTAGATTTTATATATTTTTATACTAAAAGAAAAAAAAAAAAAAAAAAGAATATACCTAAAGGTAAGCGGCAAGCGAAGAAACACGATGCTAAGTCTCTTACTCTGCATCGGACAAGCCTCGGTACTGTGCAGGCTGAGCTCATCTTTTCTTTAATTAGTCGGCAGTTGTTTCTGTACTGTATCTAGTTTTTGTGTGTTTTTCTAGAGAGAGAGAGTGGGAGAGAGGAGAGAGAGGGAATAGAGAAAAATTGAAATTTGAAAGAGAGGAAATATTAAGGCATTAAAACACACGGGAGTTACAAGGTATAGCAGTTATTATTTGTGATTTGTGAAGCATAAATGGAATGGGAATAAAACGTGGAGATTTATAAGGAATCAGACTCTTTTTTTATGAACGTTGCTCATTTACTTATCTTACTAATTATTTACTATAATCAACAATTTAATTATTCAAAATTCACTCAATGCATATTTTTTTTAAATAATATATGGTAGAAAATCCAATTCAGTCTACCTTGTCATAGTTTAAATTGTTATATCCAATACATCTTGTTATCTACTAGCGAAAATTAAATTTTGAATTATGTAAATCAATTTTTTTGATTTTTCTGAATTTGTTTGAAATGAAATTTGAATTAGATTTTTCACTTCTAAAGAACATTTGAATTTTTTTTAAATCATTTTTTTTTAATGCAACTAATCTCCAAAAAAGTTATCCATAACATTTCGTTTCCTTCCGAAGGCCACTGGAAACTTGTTCTTTTACTTTTTACCTTCTTCTATTAAACAACTTTTACACTTTAATTCACTAATTATGTTCTATATCTATGTCAATTGACTTTAACCCCTTTGTGAAACGAAAAAAAAAACAAAGAATATTTAGCATTTTATATCATAATATAAATCAATCCTCGTTTGGAGAGATGGTACCTGCTAGACTGGTTCTACTGTGCAAGATTTGAATTTATTCACAGTAAATAAATAAAGATTGGAAGAAACTATAAAGAAAATCTGGATGATGGATATCTTGAATCGGAAGAGTCGTCCATGATAAAACAATATTTTCCAAAAACATTTCATGCAATCGAGGACCAAGTGAAGTCGAATTTATAAAATTATGTGTTGCTATACGCAATTTCTTCTTTCCAATATGTGAAATAATAGGCAATTTTGCAAATTTGATTTGCAATAAACAATTTGTTTTAAAGGAGAATCAGCAGAAGTCAGCAGGTTTGCCAATTTGTATGCCTTGGTCTGCTAGGAACCCCATAATTGCCACTTTCTGCCAACTTTTGAAACTCCTGCATTTCACAAAACCAACTTTAGTTTAACAAATAACTATAATATTTGGATACATATAGCTACATTGTTATATTATTTTCAAAATACATATAACATTTCGATGCTCGTCTTTAATTACATCTAGAAGTAGCAAAACATGCTTATAAGTTATACCGATCAACTCATTCACAACCACACAACCTCTGTTTCATACTTGTTGGTCGAAAAGTACTCAGTTAACGCAATAATTATTTGTAATCGTGAAAAAGGACTTACTATTTTAAATAGGTAGTTGACTTGTTCGAATGAATCTATCGTTACACGTGTTTTATAAGAGCTACTTTCAACTTTTGGAAGTTTTTAAGTTGCTTCATTTTATTTCTTCTATTGATTTTAAGAAAATTCTAGGAAAGAATAAATTTTATACTCATTTATTCGGTATATCTGAATAATAAATGCATTAGCCTAATTACACTCGTTTTGATCATTTCCCAAACGATCCAGGACTTAAATCATTGCAGCAAGTCGTCCTTGTGTCAACCGATTGACATTCACTACAACTTAGTCGTGAACAAAAGTAACAATCAAGACATGAAAAAAATCAAATACTAAGAAAAAAAGAAAGACACTAACTTGTGATCAAGATGTGCCAGAACTTGTCCGCCTGGAAAAGCATCTCTTGTAGTCTCGAACGAAACTTTGATTGCTTCTTTCCAAGTCCCACCAACTTCTTGTTTCGATTCTTCGCCTTTTAATTGACTTTGATCCTCCATTGGCAGTGAATATCCAGAAATAAGGTGCCCCACCCACACACCATCTTTTCTGAAAATTAAATGTATTTAATTTTCTTTAATCAAAATCCCAAATTATTTCACGGAAAAAACGTTAAGAAAACGAGTTAAATAGCAACTTACAGAACTACATCCATATGTCGCGGTACATAATGTCCGCCACCTAATCCTAAGAGAACTTTGTTTTTTCCATTGTTCCTGTGTTGTTATTAGAAGAAAATAGTATAAACAAGTAGATATTTTTTTGCCATAACAAGCTTTGCATCTTTAGAAAAAAATTAAATTAATTATTTAATTTCACGGAATATGTAATGTTTTGCAATGATTACCTGCTCCAGTCACCTATTGCAGTTCCTCCTCCAAGCCCTAGGCCTTCCCATACAAGCTTCATTAAAGGAACATACATAAAGGGTCACAAACTCTTCAAAACAATTTCGTATTGTTGAACATATTTCATTCCGTCGTTAGATATAACACAAGTATTAGGGGGGAACTTGGATCGGGATTTCATAATTCCGCCGATTCCGATTAAACAATTCTTGATTTAGGAAATGTTCTCATTCCAGATTTTGAAATTCAAATTTTCGATTTTTCGAGATTCCTATTTTTTAATCGATTTTTTGTTTCGAAAATTACATTCATAATATTAATATTGCGTATTTTATATTATCAGTGAATAAAAAATGGAACTTTTGAACTCCCCCAATTACGATCCGAAAATGTCTGATTTGGAACAAGTATCATTCCAATTTCTGGAATTATGATTTCCGATTTTCTTTCGAAAAATTTGGTGTTTTTTTTTTCCGAAAGTGCTAAAATCGATCCGATTTTTCAGATTTCCACCCTAAATAGAATACTGAAATGTTCTTGAAGGCACATATGTATAGTTAATAGATACCCAACTAAGGCAATGGCTTGTGCAGCATCTTGTCTCTTCCAGTATTCTTCTGTACTACCTACAATCGTACAAGTAATGTTAAGGTAGATTGAGCAAGAAAAATAATCCCCAAAAATAACAAAGTAAAAAGTATAAATTATATTTATCAAGATGTAGTTGTTTTTCAAGGCTTGGGAAAAAGAATTATACCAATTTCGACAAACATTGTAGGCGATTGAGTTATTGGGCCATGATGAGTTGCTTCCAACGTGATCTAGACAAATATAAATACGAAGGGAACTTGATAAATACATCTCGTATTAATACGACATCACAATATACATCATATGACTGGATATGATGTCATTTTGAATGTTCACATGATTTACTATCTAATGGGTTGTTGATTAACAATATAAGTAGTTCCACAAACACGGAAAAAAATAAATTCAATTCCCACAAACAGCACGAATAAAAACGACATTAATTACCTCAAATTCAGGAGTGAGATTATGTGATTGGGCAATATTTTTCAACAGCCTCAGCCACGGTCCTAAACGTGGATTAGGCGGTGCAGCCCATCCAGGCTTTCCGCCAGCTGGCGGTACGTCTCCTTCTCGCAGATGGGGTATACCTTAAAAATCGAAGGACTCCAATAAATTGAAAAAAATAAAATAAATGCACCAATTCGGCACCAACAAATACAACGAAAGTAACAAGAAAAATTGCAAACATACATACCAATGGGATGGATAGTGAGTGCAGGTCGATTGGAAACCGCAACGTGCCTGCTGAGAAAAATAACCTCGTTGACCAACTCACCGGTCGCCTCCTCCCATCTTTTATCCAAGTGATCCTCTAATACTATACGTTTATCGTGCTTCAACAGCCTCACTTCCTTATTCACAAAACTCGACATTTCCTAACTCAAAAAATCATACACATTTAATTACATACTAATTAGCACATTGGTTATTGTTAATCTTCACCATCTTAGTTATATATAGAGATACATATATGCCCTTCAAAATATATTAATCCCTTCAAAATTTGGATTTTGTCTACCATATGAACCAATATATATCACAACTAGAAAGATAAATGGCTCCATATAAATTGAATTTGGGACAGAGAATTCATCAAAATAAATTGTACGATCCAGCCAATTGTCACCGTTTAACCTAGAAAAAATAAATAGAAGGCCCAATTTTTTTTGTATTTTATTGAGTGATGCAACTGCGACTACAACGATAGTGAGAATGAGAGTGTAAACCTGGAGAGGAGGGCCGGGGTGCCAGCCGGGCATTGACAAAAGGGCGGCGGCGGGGCCGATGGAGGCCGGGTCGACGGAGGTGGCGACAATTAGCGTCACCATCTCTCTGAAAATTGCGGTGGTGTAATTGTAAATGTTTTTACACAAGTCTGCTCTTCTTCTGCAGGTTATAATAATCCGTACTCTCACTGAACCTAGTTGACCAATGAAACTCATTTTCGCAAGTTAAAATAATAATTACTACGCAAAAATATCTTATTTATGTTTGCTTTGTAATATTAGTTAGGGTGTGTTTGCAACATGGATTTCAAAAGGAAATTGTTTTTTTCGGTTGTAAAATTGATATTTGCGATTTATTATTCAAATATTCTCTTTCTCTATAAAAAGAAGCATTTGAAGGGAATTTGCTTAAAAATCATTCTTGTTGGTGTGATATACGTACACAAATGAGCTCATCGGATGAAGATTATGATAGCGGATATAACGAGATAAAAATTCCGTCTTCTTGATCGAAAAAACTGGGCAAATCGTGCAAACGCCCAACTTGGGCGCTCATTTATACGGTGCACGCCCCAAGTTGGACGTGCAGTTGGCTGCTCCACGCCCAATGCGGGCGCCCGGAAGCCAACTGCACGCCCAACTTGGGCGTGCACTGCTTAAATGGGCGTCCGAGTTGGGCGTCCGGTTCAATTTTTTTTAATGCTTTTTTTAGGACAATACGTCTACAATTGAAGTTGATCATACCGATTATTTTACAACAACTCAATTGTTTGACTCGGGGGACGAGTTAGTGGCTTGGGCGAGGTCCGTTGCAAGAGGTCTTTTCGTGAGATTAATTAAAAAAAGTGCCCCCAAACCAAAGAAAGTGTGTCTGACTTGTGACCTGTTCGGGGGGCCCCGAGAAACACAATCAACTAACCCAGAGGCGGCCTCGAAAAGGTCTGGTAGAAAAAAAATAAACTGTGGTTTTCAAATTGTCGGAGAGCGGCGGTTGGACGATAGATGGGGGCTCAGAATAATATATGGGAAGCATAGTCATTTTCCGATATATAAGTCTGGACATGGGATGAGTGCATTGAATGAAGCGGAGGTGAAGATTATCAGGAATTTTTCACAAAGTCATGTGTCGCCCAAGAAGATTTTGGCTAACTTGAGACAAAATAGATTGGGTCTCGATGCTTATTCGAAACAAATATACAATGAAAAGGCAAAATTGAGAAGATTAGCTAGGGGTGACCGTACAGTGATGCAACATTTGATTGGGTTGCTTGAGGAGCATAACTATTACAGTGGTTCCGTACTGATGAAACCACACATGAAGTTATTGATTTGATGTGGGCTCACCCTCTATCTGTCGAATTGTTAAGTAAGTTTCCGTACGTTATACTAGTTGACAGTACTTACAAAAGCAATCAGTACAAATTGCATTTGTTGGAGATTGTTGGTGTTACTCCTGTCGGAAAAAAAATTTACTGTTGGAGTGACATTTAAGCGTCATGAAAATGAAGACCATTATACATGGGTGTTGCAGAGGCTGAAGAGACTCCCCCCCCCCCCCCCCCACATACTCTACCTAGTACACTCGTGACTGATCGCGAGTTAGGGCTCTTAAAGGCGAATAGAGAATGTATTTCCGACTGTGGCTCATCTATTATGTCTTTGGCACATTAACATGAATGTGGGGCGTCGTGCTTCAAGATGTTTCGGCAATAGTAGGCGTGAAGGATTTGCTTTTGTACTTGGTCCGTGGCAAACTTTGGTAACATCAGTGTGTGAAGAAGATTTTAGCCGGAATTACAGAGTTTTAGTTGACAATTACGCGAATCATCCACAGTTGATTGAGTACCTCCAAGACACTTGGCTGATATACAAAGAGAAATTTGTAAAAGCATGGAAGGATCTAATTTTTGATCTGGGTAATACATCGACAACCAAGTATTTATTTATAAGTGGTTAAGTACATATACTTAACTTACTGTCTGTCATGTTGTTTACTAAAACGTAACCTACTTTAATCAGATTAGGGTGGAGAGCAGCCATAGAGCATTGAAGAGATGGTTGGATGCGTCCACAAGTGGCTTTGACACATTTTGGGCAAAATATCACACACAGATTGAACCTAATTTATATAACTCTTTTATTGTACTCATAAGCAATGACTTCATAGTGCCAATTTTATTTTCTTGTACTCATTTTTTCATTGTACTCATTTTTTCATTGTACTCATTTTGGACCTATTTATTTTATATAACTCTTTTATTGGACCTATTTATTTTATATAACTCTTTTATTTTCTAGAACTTCTTTTGTTTTTGTCTACATATTTTTAAGATTGTACACAATTTATTTGTGTTTGAAAGAATTTATGGTCCCGAATTCGTATTATACAGAGATGTTATCTAAAATGTTATGACACTTGAGACAACATGCAGCGGAAATATAAAGATTAAAGGACAATACTCAGAATTAAAAATGTTCACAAGTAAAGACTTGTGAACTTGTCCTTTACAGGACGAAAAATATATTAAAATCAGTATTCCAAGAATACAAACAGAAGAGTGCGAAAACTTCTTCCTTATGAGTGAATCTTTTTCAAGATCACTCTTACAACCAAATCTAGATACTAAAAGAAAGATATCAAAAATTCTAGATTTCAAAGAATGTACTTATAAATAGTACGTACAACAGATCCTAGAAAACACACTAAAATTCTCGAGATTAAAACTTCAGCTCTCTTTTGTTTTCTCGAAATCTATATTAATCTTGAGTCTTGAGTTTGGTATTTATAGACTTGCCAAGCTTCCACTCTTCAGCCCATGATCTGCAAGAAAACCAACCACAAGAGCACTCAAGATAATGGGTTAGTGGGTTAGTTAGGAGGTTAAGATAAATCCCATAATTAAATCCACTAAGCACTACTTAACCCTACTAAGCCCACTAACTAAGATTTAGTTTAGAAGTTAAGAAAAGTTAAAAACACATTGTGAATTTAATTCACGTGTTTCAAACTCCCCCTTTTTAACTTTCTGATCAAAACTAAATCTTAGTCAAAGACTCCCCCTGAGATATTGCTTGAACTCCCCCTGAATTTGATACCATTTGAAAAACATAGAAACAATAAATTAAAACCAAATTCAGCAAGATAGTCCAACAAAAGAAATAATCAAAGTGCAGTCCTAAACAAAAGTTCAGAGGGAAAATAAACAAAACACAAGCAAAAATATTGTTCATGAAAACAATCTAAAGTAAAATATCCAAAGTCTCCAAGGTTTCCTCGATTTCAGCTGCTGCTCCTCCTCCATCACTAGATCCACTGCTTTCTTCTTGAGCTTCCCCCTCTTTCTTTGCTTCCTCTTCATTGACTCCTTGCTCTCTGCCTCTAACATCCAAAGGATGAGATGTTCCTGCTTCAGTTTCATGATCTTTTTCTCCCCCTTTTTGATCAGAAAGAGCCTTCTGAATCAGCTCCACCATGGACTGATGATAGGTAATCTGAGCTAGAGAATGAGTAAGCTGCTGCAATAGGAGATCTCTAGGAACAGACACAAGAAGGTTAGAAGTGTTGTCAACATGAGGTGCAACACCCTCAGTACCAATGTTATTTTGACCTGATTCAGTTGAGAGAAAATCATCTCCATTCCAGGGAAGATCTTGAACATGAGGAGCCCTCAGAAAATTTTGAGACACAGTGATCATGCCTTGTGGGGTGTGAAGATATTCTGAGTCATCTTGGCCCAAGTTTTGAGAGAGTAAGATGGAATAGATGAGAGAAGGATAGGGGAGGTGAGTGGAGGGTGAAATTTTCTGGGCAAGATGACCAGTAGTATCAAAGAACAGTTTGCCAAAATCCACTGGTAAACCCATCCCCAATTTGTACATGAGTACAGCATGAGGCTTAGTTACCACAGAGACATTTTTGGATGGAATCCAATTAGCCACTGTGAGTCTAAACAGGACAGAGTAGAAAGCAGTGAGTTGAGAGACTTGAAATTTTCTTGGGTGTGCAGGCCAATTTCTTAAACGGTTTCCAGAAATAACTTTGCAAATCTCAGTAAAATCACCATAATTATCCTCATCAATCACAGTAGGAGTTTGTAAATGAGAGTTGATAACTTTGGGAGAAAAAGAATAAATGGCATTGCGCACAAAAACTTTGCCAAAGTTTGGAGAGTTTTTCTTTAAAAAGGAGGTTTGCAAATTGGCATAAAACTCTTTCACAACCAAGGGATCATAAGAGCAGGCAATCTCAACTAGGTTAAGGATTTTTCTTTGGTGAAGAAAAGCTGTTATCCTATGCTTATCAAATTCTTCCTTAGAAATTTTCTTCTCCTCAATGAAATGACAATTCATGACTTGAGGACTCAACAATGAATCAGACTCAAAATAGAAATTAGGACTGAAGGCATTTGTTACCTCAAAAGGGGTTGACAAGTTCTTCCCATCCAGGTCTGGTTCTTCTTCTTCTGAGGAATCATCATCTTCTGAATCTTCAAGCTCATCAGGGACATATGCTGGTTCAGGTGATGCAGCACGTGGGGCAACACCTTCTTCCTGCTGAGAAGAGTCTTCAGAGGATTCACTGTCGGAATCAGAAGAGGACAAGTTTTTGCGAAAAGTAGCCAGTGGAACCTCCCAACTGTCTTCACTTTTCTCTGATTCTTCAGCCTGAGGAGGAATTGTATCTGCTTGAGCTGCTGCTTCTGCCAGGGTTTCCAGAGGATCTCCCTGAGGTGCTGATGGAGTTTCTTCTGTAGTGGTGAACTCCTGAGCATCGACAAATGGAATGTCTACATGCTCTGCTGATGACATTCCAGAGAAATCATGCATTTCTTCATCCTGATAAGGGGCAGCATCCTCAGCAGCATTCTGAGGAACATTTGCTGAAACAGTAGGTGCAGCAGCATCTTCTGGAGCATGTGCAGCAACACCTTCAGAGACAGGTGCAGCAACACCTTCTGAACCAGGTGCAGCAACACCTTCTGAAACAGGTGCAGCAACACCTTCTGAAACAGGTGCAGCAACACCTTCAGGAACAGAATGTTGAGAGGCTGCTGTTGCCATGCTGGGCTGCGACGTCTCCCCCTGAGTTGATGCTGGAGAAGGTGAGTTGTTGGATGAAGACTCAGAGGAGCTGGAGGACAAGGCTTGAGCCTGTGGTGCAGCAAAGGTAGGATCCCCTGCTTCGTCATCAGTTTCTTCATCTACCAGATGAAGACCTCTTCGTGGGTTTGACTGGACTGGAGTGCGGCCACCTCTGCTTCCTCTTCTTCCACCTCTGCTTCCTCTCCGGGGAGAGTTTTCTCCTCTTCGGCGTTGTGGCACCGCAGTGTTCAGATCTGGAAACGGGTTCGTGCGCTTTGACCGGCGCGTTGGAAATCTTCCGGCGGTGGAAGAGGGACCCACAAAATCAAAGTTGTCTGGGTCAATCGGGTTCAGCTCGTCGCCGGGCTCAATGTAGCTGATAGGAACAGCTTCAAAGTTGATTGGATGAACGATGATGGCCAGATTTGGGTCTGCTGGTACAGGTGCTGCAGCATCGTTGTGGACATCACCATCGACGGCTGGAGGAGGATTTCTAGGTGGGGATGCCATGATACAGTAGATAAAGTAAAATTGCTTCTTTGTGCTTTTGATTTTTGAGTGTGAATTTTGTGAGAAGAAACACGAAATTTATAAGCCCTAATTTTTGCTGGAGAAGAAAGAAGAAAAAAATTGAAGTGGAGAAGGTGAAGAAGTGGTGTCCGTTTTTCTTGGGGAGAGTGTGATTAAGGAGAATAAAATTTCCTTGGCAGTTTAAAATAAAAACGTGACACATGGCACAATAAGGAGTGGACTTAGTGGAAAATAAGGAATTAACCCATGTACCCATGACCCAAATAAATAGGGATAATTAAAATGAAAAGAGAAAAATCAATAACACCGTAGCACTCAAGAAATATTCACAAATAATAGAAAAATACATTTATTAATGATTAATAGTGAGAAAAATTTGCTGACAGGCATAGATACTATTATATCTGTATATTTATATATTTATTATTATTATATATATATATATATATATTTTTTTTTTTTTTTTTTTTTTTTTATAATAATATATATATATATAAACTCTTATTTTCAAGTCAAACAATTCACATGGAACATGATCAAGTGTTCAGTTTGAAGGTTCCTCAGTTACTAAGATATGACTATCAAAATAGAGGAGTTTGACTTATGTGAGTGTAATTATTTGTCTAAATGTTTACATGAAGCATGATCACGTTTCAAGGTGAAAGACTTCCAGTTACTGATTTAGAAAATAATACATCACAGTGAAGTCATTATTTAATGAAGCTAATGCTTCAGTAAATTGTGTTGCAGCTTAAGATATTTGATGAGGTGCTGCAACACGTTTCAGGACATGTTTATTGAGTACACATCCCGAGAGATTTTCTGAGTTTTGAAAACCTCTCATAATCTAATGCCTTTGTAAAGATGTCAGCCAGCTGATCTTCTGTAGGAATGTACTTTAAGCACACTATATTTTTCTCAACTATATCACGAATAAAATGATGTTTAATATCTATGTGTTTAGTTCGTGAGTGTTGAACGGGATTTTTTGAAATGTCAATAGCACTTGAATTATCACAATATATGGTCAGGGTATCACTGGTTAACCCATAATCTCCCAACATTTGTTTCATCCAAATTAGTTGACCACAACACCCTCCAGCAGCTACATATTCTGATTCAGCTGTTGAAAGAGATACACAGTTTTGCTTTCTACTAAACCAAGAAACTAGATTATTCCCCAAAAAGAAACATGCACCTGATGTGCTTTTTCTGTCACTAATATCCCCAGCCCAATCAGAATCACTAAAGCCTATCAAGTTTGTATTTGTGTCTTTGAAAAACTGAATCCCTAAGTCTACTGTACCTGCAACATACCTAATAATCCTCTTCACAGCTTTAAGATGGGTGACCTTGGGATTTGCTTGATATCTGGCACACACACAAACACTAAACATAATGTCAGGCCTGCTTGCTGTTAGATACAGAAGGCTTCCAATCATGCTTCTGTAGAGAGTGCTGTCGACATCTTCTGCAACATCATCCTTAGACAGTTTTTGGCTGGAACCCATTGGAGTTTTCATGTGCTTGGCTGATTCCAACTCAAACCTTTTGACCAGGTTGAGAGCATACTTCTTCTGATTCACAAACATTCCTTCACCTGTCTGTTTGATTTGGAGTCCTAAGAAGTAATTCAACTCCCCTACCATACTCATTTCAAAAGTGTGAGACATTGAATCTACAAAAGACTGTAAAAGGTTAGCACAAGTAGAGCCAAAAACAATGTCATCAACATATATCTGAACAATAATGATATGATTGTTAGTTCTTCTAACAAATAGGGTTCTGTCTGCCTCCCCTCTATTGAACTGTATTTCAAGTAAGAAGTCAGTGAGTCTTTGATACCATGCTCTAGGAGCTTGTTTAAGACCATACAGTGCCTTCTTAAGCTTGAAAACATGATTAGGCTTGGCAGAATCTTCAAAACCCTTTGGCTGTTCAACATATGCTTCCTCATTTAAAACCCCATTTAGAAATGCACTTTTGATATCCATCTGATACAGTTTGATTTTAAGAAAGCAGGCTATAGCAAGAAGTAATCTAATAGATTCAATTCTAGCTACTGGAGAAAAAGTCTCATCAAAGTCTATACCCTCAATTTGAGTGTATCCTTGTGCTACTAACCTAGCCTTATTTCTAACAACTGTACCTTTTTCATCAGTTTTGTTTTTGAAGATCCACTTAGTCCCTATCACATTTACATGGCTTGGTCTGGGAACTAAGTACCACACATCATTTCTGATGAATTGATTCAACTCTTCATGCATTGCATTTACCCAGAATTCATCTTTCAGAGCTTCTGCAATATTCCTGGGTTCCACTGAAGACACAAAACAAGTGGTTCCAGTTAGTGCACATTCAGAAGATAAATTAGCAAATCTTACCATATCTCTGTAGTTCACTCTCTCTTTTCTTCTGGTTCTTATTCCACCAAAGATATCACCCACTACTTGAGTTGATGGGTGATTTTTCTGGATTCTGCTTGATGGTTCCTTTCTGCAGACATCTAGGGTTGGTTGCAACTCAGTCTCTGTAGGATGTGTTGAGTCAGATGTGGTGACACTTGGCTCAGCACCTTCTTCTCTTAAGATTGGACTGTTTGTGTCTGGGCTTTCTGTGGCAGAAGTGTCTTCTTCTGTTGTTTCCCTTTCAGCAATCAAGTCATCAACTTCATCTTCAGCTGTTTTACTGCGGAGATCAGCAAAGTCATCAAATACCACATTTACAGATTCAATAATGGTTCGAGTTCTTAGATTGTATACTCTATAAGCATGACTGTTATTAGAGTATCCCATAAACAAGCTCAAATCACTTTTTGAATCAAATTTAGCTAGATGATCTCTATCATTTAGAACATAGCAGACACACCCAAACACATGCATGTATTCTAGATTAGGTTTCTTACCATAAAGAATTTCATATGAAGTCATCATAGATCCTAATCTTAGATACACACGGTTTGAGATGTGACAGGCTGTGTTGACAGCCTCAGCCCAAAACCTTTTAGACAAATTTTTTGCACTCATCATCACCCTAGCCATTTCCTGAATAGTTCTGTTTTTCCTTTCAGCAATGCCATTTTGCTGAGGAGTTTTTGGAGCAGAAAATTCATGCTTTATTCCCTTTTTATTACAAAAAGCAAAAAATAAAGCATTCTCAAATTCTTTTCCATGATCAGATCTTATCCTACGAACAGAAACTTGAAATTGAGTTCTAACAAACCTGTACAAATTTTTGAATACTTCAAAGGTGTCTGATTTTTCTCTCAAAAAATACACCCAAGTATATCTTGAAAAATCATCAACACATACAAAGACATATTTTTTACCACCTAGACTTTCTACCTCTATAGGACCCATAAGATCCATATGTACAAGTTCAAAACAAATAGTGGTACCAACGTGTTGCAACACTTTGTGTGGTACTCTGGTTTGCTTTCCCTTCTGGCACATTCCACATATAGGAATGTCCTTGATCTTGAGATCTGGTACTCCTCTTATGGCATTGTACTTGTTGAGCAGCTTCAGATTCTTGAAGTTTGTATGTCCTAGTTTCTGGTGCCACAGCTCTACTTCACTTACTCTTGAACTCTTGCATGAGATGGTGTCACCTGTTTGATAGCAATTATCCATTGATCTGGAACCTGTAAGTACACAATGATTTTGATTATCAAACACAGAACAACAGTATTTATCAAATTCTACACGTAGATCATCATCACACAATTGACTGATACTAATGAGATTTGACCCCAATCCTTCAACATGTAAAACATTTGAGAGTTTTGGAAGCCCCTCAATACTGAGTGTTCCACGTCCAACCACTTTGCCTTTAGCTCCTCCTCCATAGGTTACACGTCCTCCATTAAGTGTGTGGTAGTTTGATAGAAATTCCTTTGTTCCAGTCATGTGCCTAGAGCATCCACTATCAAAGTACCATGAACCTGAAATGTTAGCATTTAAAGAGGTGTATACTGCTTTGCACAAAAATTTACCTTTGGGAGTCCATATTTTACACTCCTTTTTGGTAGATTCTACCTTTTTCTTTGAAGTGTTCCTTGAAGTGTTGTGGCTTATTTTATACAACATTTTGTCACTGCTGAGTTTTTCACAAAATGGACGAATGTGTCCTGGTGAGAAACAGTAATGACAAACATAACCTCTTATTCTGGAATCTGGAGTGGTGACTGTGGACTTCCTGCAATCCTTTCTGTTTGCACCCTTCTCTTTTACAAAGACAATTTCTTTCTTCTTAACTGGCTTCATTTGTTTTTTGAACCCTAGCCCTTCATGTTTGTAGTGCTTTTCCATTGACACAATCTCTTCGAGCTTAGTTGTGCCAGTGTTCATCCTCTTGATTGCTAGAGTTGCCTTTTTGAGTTCTTCTTTCACTTTTGCCAGTTCAAGATCCTTCTTGGTGATTCCAACCTCCAAATGTGTGATTGTTTCTTTGAGGGAGGAATTTTCCTTGTTGGCTGCATCTAGAGCTTGAGTCTTATTCTCCAAGATTCTGATCAGCTTTTTACACATTTCTTCATCATCACTGACTGCTTCATTACTGGATTCTGCTGCATTCACAGAAATAGAGTTTAAACATGTATATTGATCAGTATTTAACTCACAAATTGAAAGTGTTTCAGAAAGTGTTGCAGCATCCAGGGAGACTCCTTGGGATTCTGTTTCAGTGGAACTTCCAGTAAGATATCTGACAGGAAGAGCTTGTTTAGAGGATTGCTGTTCCTCTGTCTGTTCAGGTTGTTCTTCCTCCTCATCACTGACAGCACAAATCAAACTCATTCCTCTCCTTCTCAAGGTATTTGCACATTCATTAGCATAATGTCCAAATCCTGAACAGGCCCTGCATTTAATATGATCCAAGTTAGGTGGTTCAGAATTTGAACGAATAAAAGAAGAATTTTTTAAATTGTTTTGAGAAGGTGTTTGAGGAAATGTTCTCTGTGGAATAGATCTGTTCCGGGGCTGAGTTTGTCGATTTTGTGGAGACCCTTCTGAGAATAACTGCCTGGGCTTGATTCCACTTCGTCTGAACGCCCTATTGAATTTCTGAATCTGAAATGCCACATTATTGAGGCATTCTTCTGCATCATCATCATATTCCGGAGCAACATCTTCCTTCTCTAATTCTGCCTGGAGTGCATTTGAGATAGCCTTTCCTTTCTCCTTTCTTTGATCTTCGAAGTTCATCTCTCTGGACTTGAGACTTCCTATTAATTCGTCCAGCCGTAGAGATGATGTATCTTTAGCCTCCTCAATAGCAGTAACCGTCATGCTGAACCTTTCTGGAAGAGTTCTCAATACCTTATTCACTAGTGTCTCGTTGCTCAAAGGACCACCTAAGGATTGAAATTCATTAGCCAAGTCAATCAGCTTCTCATTGTACTGAGAAATTGTTTCAGTTTCCTCCATTCTCAGTCTCTCAAATTTGGAAGAGAGTAATCTGAGCTTGGTTCTTTTGACACTATCTGATCCCTCACAATGTAGCTGAAGAATTTCCCAAGCATCCTTTGCAGAAGTGCATACAGAGATTAATTTAAACATTGTTAAATCTACTGAATTGAAAATTGCATTTAACGCCTTTGAGTTTTGGTTAGCATTTGATAGATCGTCTGGTGTCCACCGTAATTCTGGAGTTGGAAAAACATCTCCGTCCACATCTGTGATAGTTGGTGGCTTCCATCCAGTGAGAATAGATCTCCATGCTCTCTCATCAATGGCTTTGATGTACGCCCTCATCTTGACTTTCCAGTAGGTGTAGTTCGTGCCATCAAGTACAGGAGGTCGCATAGAAGCAGTCATCTGAGTATCCATCACGAATTCGTTTCTGTAAAGAAAATAGGAACAAACACTTAGTATACGTCAAGTGTTGGCTCTTGATGCCAATTGAAAGAATTTATGGTCCCGAATTCGTATTATACAGAGATGTTATCTAAAATGTTATGACACTTGAGACAACATGCAGCGGAAATATAAAGATTAAAGGACAATACTCAGAATTAAAAATGTTCACAAGTAAAGACTTGTGAACTTGTCCTTTACAGGACGAAAAATATATTAAAATCAGTATTCCAAGAATACAAACAGAAGAGTGCGAAAACTTCTTCCTTATGAGTGAATCTTTTTCAAGATCACTCTTACAACCAAATCTAGATACTAAAAGAAAGATATCAAAAATTCTAGATTTCAAAGAATGTACTTATAAATAGTACGTACAACAGATCCTAGAAAACACACTAAAATTCTCGAGATTAAAACTTCAGCTCTCTTTTGTTTTCTCGAAATCTATATTAATCTTGAGTCTTGAGTTTGGTATTTATAGACTTGCCAAGCTTCCACTCTTCAGCCCATGATCTGCAAGAAAACCAACCACAAGAGCACTCAAGATAATGGGTTAGTGGGTTAGTTAGGAGGTTAAGATAAATCCCATAATTAAATCCACTAAGCACTACTTAACCCTACTAAGCCCACTAACTAAGATTTAGTTTAGAAGTTAAGAAAAGTTAAAAACACATTGTGAAATTAATTCACGTGTTTCAGTGTTGATTAGATAAATACATGTAATGATTAATTTAACACTAATAGATAAAATATATAAAATGTAATAAATTTAATACTAACATCAAACTAATGAATTTAGTTAGAATTGTTTTATTTTATAAAAAAAATTAAAAATCAGAAAATATTAAAACATAAATATTTAAAATATTAAACTATTAAAATATTAAAATATTAAAATATTAAAATTTAAAAAATAGAGAGAAGACGCCACCGGTGGTGGTGTCTCTTACCGTGCCGCTGTTGGAGCTGGCGTCTCCTGTCGGTGCCGCCGTTGGTGGTGGCGCCTCCTGCCGGTGCCGCCGTTGAGGGTGGCGCTCAACACCAATTCAGTTACAACCCAAAACAACCCCATTTTAAAAACTACTTCCTAAAACAACACCAAAAAAAAATTGCCCCGGTAGAGAGTTAATTATTATGAACTGTAATCTTAAAAATGGTATCAAGTCCAAAAGAAAAACACCAAAACTCCATTAAGTAAAAAACAAGTGGACCAATAAGAAGAAATACCGGATTAAATATAAAAAAGGGAGCCGCCGGCACAAGTCCCAATTTAGAAATGTTGTACAAGTTTTTCAACTTCTCCGTCCAATAAACAACCGAAACAGCGTCGTATACAGAATCAGAAATCTCCCCCCAAAAAAATCAAAATATATACCTCAGCTTACACACCAATTTATCCAGTTCACACACAGTCACTGAGAAAGAAAGAGAGACCTGCGGTGGTAGGTGGCGGCGGCGATGGGTTGGGCAATAGCACTTCACGGCGGCGCTGGCGACATCCCACGTTCGATGCCTCCGGAGCGCCGTGAGCCCCGAGAAGCCGCCCTCCGCCACTGTCTCCAGATCGGCGTCGACGCAATTAAAGCTGGCCGATCACCACTTGACGTCGTCGAACTCGTTGTACGTACTCACAAAATCCAACTTCTCTTTGGGTTTTATGTTCTTATTGCACAAATCTTACTTGCTTCTGATAAACAGTAAGGAAGTTAATTAGCTCGTAAAATACATATACGTTGTAGTTGTATCTACATTTCAGTAAAGTGCACTCTATGTGTTTGTACATATGTCTATATGAATAGAATGAAGTTATAGGGAAAAAAAACTGTTGGATCTATTGGGCGAGATGGAAAACTTGCTTTTCAGTGTTGCGATCGATCGATCGATCGAAAGCTTTAGTCAAACTAGTGAAGTAAGGCGAACTCAAACTTTTAACGATCCGGAGTTGGATGCGTTCCATGATTCTTATTATCGATTTTTCGTTTTCTTTTTTCTCTAATAGCAATGCGCTAAATTTGAATTAATTAAATAGGTTCGTGAACTAGAAGATAACCCGCATTTTAATGCTGGTAGAGGCTCTGTCCTGACAAGCAACGGCACAGTGGAGATGGAAGCTTGTGTAATGGTGGGAGATACGAAGAAATGTGGAGCTGTCTCTGGTCTTACTACAGTTAAAAACGCCGTATCTCTGGCAAGGCTAGTTATGGAGAAAACTCCTCATATCTATCTTGGATTTGATGGCGCTGAACAGTTTGCAAAAGAACAAGTTAGATACATACCATTCTGCTTAACTTATAATATGTGTTCGTTTCTCATACATAATGTATTTATTAAAAGAATTTGACACGCACGTTACATTCTATGGTTAAATGTGGTCAATACATAATTTGTTTAGTTATATTTGTAACCATTTACGTTTGGTGCTGCTGCTCCTCCTCCTCTCGATATATGCTCATGAGTCGTTTTGTTTGAAGGGCGTCGAAACTTTAGATGCAAGCCATTTTATAACTCCAGAAAACGTTGATAGATTGAAACAGGCGAAAGAAGCTAACAAAGTTCAGGTATGATCCATTCTAACTGTTGTTTTAATTATATTAGTTTTTGACATATATTTTCCAATTCATCATCTACGATTCATCTATATTCCGTCTCTCTTTACTTTACTAATTAGTTGAACTTACAAGTGCCTCTTTTGATAATCCTCGTTCCTACTATTCTTGCCGTTTATTTTGAAATTATCGAATAAAAGGCTTAAAACTCGTATGATAAACTTGTTTATGTTGAAAGTTTTCAAGATTATGCATGTTAAAACCAGTACTTGTTTCATTTGGTTGCATCTAGATTGATTACACACAACCAATTCAAAAAGTCGAAGAAGAGGATGAATCAGCATCACTTCCCAACGGTGACAGTCAAATCGGAACTGTCGGGTGTGTGGCTGTCGACAGCTCCGGCAACTTAGCGGCCGCCACATCCACCGGCGGATTGGTCAACAAAATGGCGGGAAGAATCGGAGATACTCCAATCATTGGAGCTGGAACTTACGCCAATAGCTTATGTGCCGTTTCAGCTACCGGCAAAGGCGAAGCTATAATTAGAGCTACTATAGGTAGAGATGTGGCGGCTCTAATGGAGTATAAAGGGCTTTCTCTCGAAAAAGCGGCGGCTTACGTTGTGCAGGAATGCGCTCCGGTAGGAACTGTTGGTTTGGTTGCAGTTTCGGCTAATGGACAAGTTACTATGCCTTTTAACACTAATGGCATGTTTAGAGCTTGTGCTAATGAAGATGGTTATACTCATGTGGGAATTTGGCAGGATTAATGTCTCTGTGGAAATTAATTCTGTGCTGTTAATTATTAATTTTTGGATTGATTTTGAGGTTTTGTTACTTAGATTTTGGCTGAAATTTAATCATGGTTGTCTATAGAAATATTTGTGAAGCATTGATGTACTTACAATTTTTCATAGAAGGTGTAAATTTCATTTTTATATTACTACTAGTACCTCGCCCGTGCAATGCACGAGGATTACTTATCACATCAAAATGCATGAATATAAAAATCAACGAACCAAAAAACGTCGGGAATTTAATTATATTGAATATGGTCGAAAAAAATTATAAATTTATATTTTATTTTATCACCAAAAAGTCTAGATAAATATAAGGGCACTTTACAAATAAGTCCATCAATGAGTACTTATTCATAAAGGGGTCTAGACAATAAACTATTTTACAAAAAAGTCCACACATGGTCCAGAAGTTTGTAAAAGACTAAAATAACCCCTCACATTTTAATATGCTCCAATTTCATACTTTAATTTAATCTAACCTCAATTTGACCTCAAATTTTACAAATTATTCAGTTTTGACCCAAAACACAAATTTATGACAATTTCGTCCGTCACCGCCGTTGACCGTCGGTCTCCGGCGTTGACATTTTTTTTCTTCTACCTGATTTTTCGGCCGGTTTCTGGCGTTGACTTTTTCGATTCTTTTTCTTCCTGATTTTTCCGCCACCGCTTCCGGCGTTGACTTTTTTCGATTTTTTTTTCTTTTTTCTTTAACATCTTTTTGCTCCCGTTTTAACAGCAATATTGTTGTGGTTGACAATAATATTACTTATATTACTGTTAAATACAATAAAATTAATTATACTACAGTTTAACACTGTAATATTGTTATATTAATCTCTAGCACAGTAATATTAATACAACAAAAGTCATTTTTATTGTGTAACAGAGTAATATTAATATGTTGACCGCGCAACAAAGGTAAACATAATAAAAAGCCAAAAGAATTAATATTACTGTGGTTGACAATAATATTACTGTAACAACAGCAATATTACCGTCAACCACAGTAATATTATTGTGTTTACAATAATATTATAGACAGTAATATTATTACGCTACTCCGTCAATAACTCAAACAAAACAAAAAAAACCAAAAAATTAATAACATTGATGTGGTTGACAATAATATTATTGTGTTTACAGTTATTTTACTGTCAACGACAGTAATATAATTACGTTGACTTGTCAACAAATCAAACAAAATGAAAAAAAAACCAAAAAAAATAATAATTTTATCGTTGACTCTAATTGTATTGTCAACGACAGTACAATTACATAAATGTACTGTCAACAACAGTACAATTACGTTAATGTACTGTCATCGATAGTATAATTACGTTAATGTACTGTTAGTGACAGTGTAATTACTGTTAATGACAGTACAATTACGGCCAACGTTTAGCGGCGAGCGTAAGAAAAAGGATAAAAATTTTGTGAGAAAAAAAAAATTGGAAAAGTCAAAGCTGGAAACCGGCGGCAAAAAAATATTTTGTGTAAAAGAAAGTTAAAAAAAAAGTCAAAATTGGATTTTTGTGGTCAAAATTGATTAAATTGGAGTTACAATTAAGAATATGGTGTAAAGGGTTGGAGGTAATTTTGTCATATACATCAAATTTTCCTTTATTTATAATAAATATTAAAGGGATGAGCTTATTGGCGAAAGAGATATAACCCCTAAACCTAGAATAATAAAGATGGTTGGTGAAAGACTCATGCACAAAAACTCCTAAATATAAAATGACAATGTTATAAACATCATCCACGCCAAAATATCACAACCAACTCCAAGAAAGCAATCAAATGAATGTATCACTCTTGCACATTAAGCTGAATGTTGGTACAATATAACAAGAAGCTACGGTCATAAAAATGAAACTACGTTTAGGTCAATAATCGAACGAAAACTTTGTATAATTGATATATAATACGATATAGTCCAAAACTTAAAAAACAATGTTCATTCCATTTGATTTAAGTACCAAATCAAACAAAATAAATAATAAAAGAAAATATAAAGTAGAAAAATTGTGATGTCAAATAAACGAAACATTATCAGACTCAAGCGATACAAATATCTCGTCCAATGCACTTAGATCATTAACATGAAACTTCGTTATTAAAGTGATGTTTTATAGCACATGCATTGACATCATCGATAACTCATCTAATAACTGTCAAGTAACCTACAAAATTTTCATTGTTCATATGCAATCAGTGATACACATTACTGAAATATAAATCACCTAAAAGTGTAAAAATAAATACAATTTATATTAAATTACTTTGATAGATAAAAAAAAAATAATTGGAGTCGACAGTAGCATACACTAGCATAAAGTGCAAATAAATCTAACACTGCAAAATAATTATACATATAAATAATACAAAAAATAAGTGTGTTATTAAATCACAATATACAACTTATGTGATGTACCTTCATATTCACCTAAAAACTTCCTTGTACACAAAATTGTTAGTAACATTAGTCACCCGATTTCGACTTGGTGAATTTCTTTATGCCACCTACACTCGTAACTCTCGATATTGCGACGTATAAAAATTTAGAATATATAATAGGTATTCTGATTTTTGTTGATATTTTGTGGACTTCATCCCGTCTATCTTAATATTTGTTAGATTATATAATAGGTATTCTGATTATGTAGCCCACCCAATTTATCTTAACTAGTCAACCTAGTACGTAAGAAAATTTAATTTTGAAAAATCGAATTCTTTTAGAGACACTATGTTTTAATCTAGGGTAAATAGTGTTTTGCCTCCTGAACCTATGCATGTTTTACGCTTTGCCACCTTAACAAGAAAAAAAATGCACGTTCACACCTAAACTCATTATTTTGTGCCTCGTTGCCATCTATTCTTTATTTTCTGGCGATTTTGACCGGAATTCACAACATTGTGTATTGCACATAATCCTTGTAACAGTGTTGTTTCTCATATTTAAGAAAATTCTTTAGATATGGCATCGGATCACAATGCATTAAATTTGACATTATCTTATTTCTAACATCCACGGCATTCTTATCTGTCATACATAAAATCTTATCCTCCCATTAAATGCAAGGAGATTTTTTTGACTATATGTATTGGTTGTCTGGATTGTTCCTTTGCAACTTGCGCTTCGCTATTTATTCAATGAATTAGACTACGTTAAGAGAGTGAGCTTATAACCTAAGCAATCACTTTGTCTTGACTCTTTTTGAGGAGCAGTTGACCGGAATCTTCCCATTGGAGGCATGTTCAGGAAAGATCTGGTAATTATTTATTCCTTACAATCTATTTTTGATAAATTCGACTTATTTGTGACCTCACATTCATTTTCAATTGAACGCATTACCTTAATTTGTTTTTGGCGTCAATTATCAATATCAATATAATTCAAGTATGATTAGCTGTCCTTCTGATCACAACTATTAGACATAAACTCTAAATTTTATCGTTTGTTTATCTTTATTTGTATCGTTTGTTTATCTTGGAAGGATTTATGATGTGGTGTAAGATTAAAAATGTAAAACCAAAAGATCTTATATCTCTATAAGAGCATTCCTTTTATCATTACTTCAATTTTTCTTATAGATCTGAATAGATTTTATTCCTTTTCCTATGAATTTTAACATTTTCTTTGAAAGTGAAAATTTTATTCATTTTGTTACGGATATATAATTATATATAATTGTTTTTTGGGAAATGAAAAATAACTTCCAATTCCGATTTAAAAATATTGGAATCGAATTTTTTTCCCCATTTTAGAAGCTTCATAAATTTCAGAATTTTAGAAATCTTATCACCCTTATAAATTTTTAAATTTGGTTTTGGAAATATTAGATTTTTTTTTGGAAAAAAATTAGCCTAACTATTATAAACAACTTATAAATTGACATTAAAAGTTATTGGGCAATTAATCGATTATTAAGAATTGCAAATTTAGAATAAAAGTAAAATACGTAATATATAATATTATTAATTATATACATTTATTTTTGGGAAAAAAAATTCCTGAGTTAATTTTGAAATATTAAAAAAATTGGAAGTTATGAAGTTTTTATTTATAATTACTGTTTCTAATCCAAACATTTTTAGAATAAAAAACAAATAGAAATTAGAATATTGGAGACCATAACCGGAAATGGTGTTCCAATATTAGGAATTTTAGGAATTAAAAAAATTAGACGCGTTCGTAAGTCTAGCTCTTTCGGTTATAAGAATCACCTCATGTTTGAAACTGCTTCAAATTGCTTGTCTTGTGCAGCCGATATGGTTTCTTTTGGAAAATTGTTGAATATTCATGCTCATATAGCTTTCTGAAATGTTGGTTTGGCCTTTTCGAATGGTTTACCGTGTTAAAATAATATTAATAGCAATGCTAAAAAAAGGTTTATTATCCCTTTGGTATATCTATTTCTCTATAATTACATGTACATATAAATATATTTTTTTTGGGTGAGATACGTGTATATCGGTAAATGTCTTATCTTGAATAACTAATCATGATTTTAATTTCCAGTTATTATTTATTTCTCAGTTTTGTACCCATGGTTGATTCAATGGGAGGTGAACACTTCTGGCAAATAAACAATAAAAAAGAGCTTGGAATATTTTATTGTAAGATTTCTTTGGCACAACCAACAAAAGATATAAGGACAAGAATCCTCAGTCAAATATAAGGAATCCTCCCGCACCTCACGCATCGGCGACGTGTCCCATCGAGAACTGGCGGAGACCCGCCCGCAGATGTTGCACATAAATCAATCCTGCCTGAGAGATAAATCCATCTCATGCAACTATACGACCGCATATATGGTCAGCTCAATTCTAATCCCTAGATCCACATCATCTAGTAAAAGTTGCAAACACAAAAATATAAAATTAAAATTAGAAGAAAATCTTAAAGATGGAGAGTGGAGGAACCAATAACATGGAGATATCACAAGAGCATTCAAATCAGCTGATAAAAGTTGCACAAAAAAAAAGTACAAAAAATACACAAATTAAAATCAGAAGAGAATCTTGAAGATGGACAGTGGAGGAAGTGCAAGCCAACAACATTAAGATATCACAAAAGGATCCACATCATCCAGGTGTTAGAGTAGGTGACCAACAAGCCAACTTGTGGCGGTGGTAT